AAGGAAACCCGATTAAATTGAAACTTACCTTTGGAGCTATGGAGAAGAGCATAACGACGTGAAAGAAGAAGAAGATAGAGATACATCTTTTTCCTCTCATTTTCCCCCTTTTCTTTAATTAAATACCTTAATAAAATAATTATTAAATTTATTTTCCTTTTAAAGGACTAAAATGCCCTCTCTATTCATCTATAGTTGTAATCTAGTCTTAAACATTATTCTAATTATTTACCCATCTATTATGATTTAATCACTTAAATCCTCCATTTCTAAATCTTTTTAATAAAATCCTTAATTCAATAATTGGGGCATTACACGCGTCAATATTAGATAACCTGCTGTCCTCTTCACGTAGGAACCATGTTATCATTCCTATAGATGGCATGACGTCCTCATCACGTAGGAACTGTGTCATCCCCGACCAGACCTCCTCATCACGTAGGAACCGTGTTATCACCCTCCCTAAAAATGGCCAGAACTCTTCATCACGTATGAGTCGTGTCATCCCCCGACCAGATCTCCTCATCACGTAAGAGCCGTGTCACCCTTAGATGACCAGACTTCTTCATCATGTATGAGCTGTGTCGTCCCCAACTACAAACACATCAAATTTTAAACCCAAAAAAAAGAACCGGACAAAAACTGGTTGTCTTTTTTGTCTTTGCCTTATTCTTGTTAACACAATAATGTGCAAATAAGGGCAGCTGTAGACGCCCGTTTTTGTCCAGGTATACCAAAAATATTATAATAATAATAATATTATTATTATTATTATTATTTTAACTATTACATTACATTTTTGTGCCGGCCTTGAAGCCCAATATTACAACAGAAGCCCATCAACCAAGCATGCCCAATACACCCAAGACCCGTTTACATGTCCAAACCCACTGAGCCCCGTGACCCGAAGCCTGAACCGGCTTAGCAACCCATTTCCGACCCGGGCACCTATGATTTATAAAACCCTAACCCTAGGGGTATCATGTTGCTGCCGCCACCACCACTCTCTGATGTTGCTGTTGACTGTCCCGTCTGGATCCATCCATCCTATAGTGACTGAAATTCAGAGCAATCATATCAAAAACCCAAGTAAAAAATGGAAAACAAATCTTAGGAAATCCAAATCTATCATCAGTCACACACAGAGGCATAGGCAACATAAAAGAAAGCAGATAAGAGAGAAAGGGGATTCCATTCGAGACTTGAGAGAGAGAAAAATAGGGAAAAGGGGATATAGAGAGATTTGAAGAACATAAACCCCAAAGAAAAATAAGAGCAAAAAAGAGAAGAAATGAGAAGAGTTTACCTCAGTTGAACGCCGTTAAAAGCCAGTGGTCACCAGAGTCGAAGAAATCGAAGGGTTTTTTCTTAGATTCGAAATGTCTAGTCCTTTTTTAGGCCAAACAGGGCCCAGATCCGTGATCAGGGCGAAAGGGTGCTTCGAATGATGCTCTTTTTCTCTCATCTCTGACGCTGGCATACGGCGGCGACCGCCAGTCAGTGGCAGTCGGCACGACGGAGTCCGACTGGTTTTTGGGAACCATTGAATCTCTCTCTCTCTCTCTCTCTCTCTCTCTCTCTCTCTCTCTCCCTCTCCCTCTCTCTCTGGCAAAACGGGGAAATAAGGGAATGGGTGAGAAATGGGCTTGTTTGGGGCTTATATACATCTAGAAGAACGGTGCCATTTTAGCCAGGGACCTTCTGCATGTTTTTATCTTGTGGGGTAACTACGGTTTTAGTTCCCATGGTTTTGTAATCTTATATTGAAGCATTAATGAAGTTCCTTTTTATTTTATTTCAAGCACGTATTTTTCAGCATTTATATTTTGGTCATATTATTATATTGTGTATTCTTGTAAATATTTGACTTTGGTCCCAGTGCTTATAAATGTTCCATTTTAGTCACTATTGTAATGTTGTGTATATTCTCTTTGATATTCGAATTTGGCCATGGCATTTGTAAATCTTTTATTTTGGTCACTGTTTAGGCATTTGGTTTAATTGTTGTTTGGTCCTTCATGTTTTTGTTCATTTTCTTTTGGTCCCTAATATTATTTTTGGTTTATTTATAGTACATATATTGTTTAATATTTTGTTCTTGGCTTTGGATTATTTTTATTTTCTATTTTAGCCCCTTAAGTTTCTATTTTTGTGATTTTAGTCCCTTAAATGTTTGTTTTTATTGTATTAGTCCCTTAAGTTTCTATTTTTATTATTTTAGTCATTTAAGTTTCTGTTGTTACTGTTTTAGCTCTTTAAATTTCTGTTTGTGCCATTTTAGTCCTTTAAGTTTCTGTTTTTCTTATTTTGGTCCATGAAATTTTAAATATTTACTTTTTGACCATTATATTTTGGGTTGGAATATTCGTTTGTATTTATTTCAATTCGTATGTATATATTTGTATGTATTGTATTCATTTGTATCATATGTAAATAAATATGCTTATCTCTATTTATTGTAAATGTTTTTATTTCGCATGTTTTCAATCATCATTATTTAATACACAAAAATTGGAAAAGTTGCAATGTGAGGGAAATCTTCGAAGATATCTCCCAACTAAAGGGAAAGTATCTTTTCGAGGATTTTCCCCATAATTATGTATTTTATATTCGATAAATTTCCTTGTTCCACGTTTATTTATTTCGAGTATTTTCATCGCTTTTAACTTTTATTTCGTTTTTATTTTACAAAAATTGCGATATAATATCTTTTGTGAGGGGAATCTATGGGAAAGTCTCTTAACTAAAAAGGAAAGGCTTTTCCTCGAATATTGTTCACAAAAAAAGGCGTTAGTTATCCGAAAATTGACATTTTTTATTAATTAAAATGAATAAAAGGATTTTAATTCAAATATATTTTCGAGTTTGTAATTTCTAATATTTAAACAATATATAATTGTTTAGGTACCAAAATTTGGGCGTTGTGGGGGTGCTAATCCTTCCCTACATGTAACCGACTTCCGAACCCTTAAAAATGAATCTTTGGTAAAACGCATACCCCTTTTTTCGTTTAAGGTTTTCAACCTACCTAACTTAATGGTTGGTGGCGACTCCCAAACCAAACCGTTTTCTAAATTACATTTCATCGCCTCTCCCCTAAACTAAATTTTTTAAGTCTAACGAGTCCCCGCGAAAACGTTATGACAGGACTTAGGGACATTAAGAGCAGCAATAGCTTTATCAGCTTTAGACAAACTAATACGAGTTTCAAGAAGGCAAAAGATATTGGGCTTGTGATCTCTAAGATATTAACGAGCAACTTCATTAAAATTGCAATGGTCGCAACCACAGGCATTCCAAATAAAGATATTCATGATCAAAAGGAAATAAATAGGAAGAAAGTTTAGAAAAACAAACGGAGATTATTCTGTCATAGGGACTTCTGTTCACCGGTTAGGGCAACCATTGGGATCGAGGGGTGGCTATCAGGTTGGAGTTGGACAGCCTGATGCTTGTTTTTGCCTAGGATATTCGGTTGGTTTCCATCTTTGGGCAGGTGCCACTGCCTGACATGAGGAAGAACTACGAACACCCTACATGAGACCAAATTAATGCCATTATTAGACTTCGAAATTTTGGATATTATATTGCCCGTTTTCCTGGGAACCAATATTAAAGCTGTAGATTTTTTAGGGACAGTAGTTGACTTCATTTTTTATTTAGATTTTTTTCAGCTGCTGTGGGGCTGAGATTTCAGTGATATTATCAGCAATAGATTGCAAAATTTATTGGGAAGAAATATTCGAAACCCTTTGTCCAGTGAAATCCTCCGGAGATTCAGCATTAGCATTGATGACATGTTCTTGATTCAAATTAGCTCCAAAAGCGGGTTTTGAAATCGGTGTAAAATTATAAACTTTTTTAGAGCCTGGATTAGCAGAATTAGACAATCTGGGATAGCGTTTCCTTCTTTCCACGATCATCCACAGACCAAAGGGGTCCTCCTAGGCAACATTGGCGGCAGGCGGAGCTGGCGGCGGGGGTTGTCTTGTTGAGCATTATCAAGATGCTTAGATGATGGGAGATTCGGACAAAGATCTTTCAAGTGGTCGTAGGTTCCGCAGTGGAAACAAATGGTCGACAGAGATTCATACTCAATAAGCAAAACGACCACTTTGGCCATTTTCGGTTTGGAAATCGACTTTGATGACAGAACCAATTTAGCCTCCTATGGCTTCAATGAAGTTGCGTTTGTAAAGAGTGATCAGGAGATCAGGGAGTCGTATTCATGCCAAGAGACGATTGGGAGCGGAATGGGAAGGCTGGATAGTTTAGGGGTTTGGGTTAATTTAGAAATCTGATTATCGGATGAATCCGCAAGAGGACATCTAGATGATCAGATTATTGCTATACGATCGATTCTTAAAAGTTCCCCATCTGTGAAAATTCACTGCGTTAATAGAGGGTCAAACTGAGTTGCACATTCACTTGCTCCCTGGGTTTCGTTAAGGACCAATCCTTGTTGGTTTTCAAATGATGAACCGGATGTATCAAAAACAATGTAATTCTTGATGCCATACATTTGAATACAACACGTTGTAAAAAAAACCTGATTACCGAATCAGAAAAAATAAAGACTCGATGACCTGGGATCAATCTCTCGTTGCAGCACAAAAAAGAGCTTCAACAAATAACAAGTTCAAAACCTAAAGATCACTGCAATGTCAATGGTTAATCCGAGGAACAAAGCTCAAGGGATTTAGCACCTAAACTGAAATCAACGGCCGACACCCAGACATCCACAAATTAACCCACTGCTGAACTGCCTGTGCATTTTACAGTCTTAATTTTCCATAGGCTTAATCTGTCTATCAGTTAACCGAATAATACTTGTACTAAAACACAAGGATGCAACCCCTGCTATCATCATTAGTATTCATTTGCGGTTAGGCCATTCAAATCATGGAAAATGTAGGAAAAAAGTTTGTGTCAATATCGGTTAACTGCATCCAACAATGTTTTCCTACAAGACATTGGAAGATGAGGACATTACTCCGGCGTTCGAACGAACCACAACAATAGATACTGCTAAAGAAGTCGCTGAATTGTTACATAATTATCTATGTGCTAGTCGGTACATGGAAAAAATCAACAGTCTACAAAACAAAACTACAGCAATACCAACAATTTCCTTCCAACATAGCAGAGTTTCATCCTCAGCCTTATCCTTCCTTCTCCATTCAGCAAAATCATCTGTCTTTGTCTCGGAAACACTCTTGCCATCCGGTCAGGTCCCTTTAAATCGAAGCTCATTCCCAACCCAAACCTCAAATGGGATTCTTCCTTGGCCTCCCTCTCTTCCTTGGGTTGGAATTGGAAGCATTGTTCCTACTTTGCACCACCTTCTTAACGGGAGCAGCAGCAGCTGCTGGTTGTTGTTGTGGTGGCGGCTCTGGAATTGGCACATTGCCTCCATTTCTTTCACTCTCCGTCTGGCCTCCGGGAATCATAGAAGGCATCCAACTTGAAAATCCAGTGGGTGGTTTTCCTTTTCCTCCATCCTCTTGATTACCAAACAAAAACCCCAACGGAAAAAACCCCCAACAACAATAATATGCTTCTTTTCCCGGCACCAGCGGCGGGAGTGTTGGAATTGAAACAGCATGAAAAGATCTCTCGCAATTCTGACACCTTAAACAACAACCTTCGTAAAACCCTGGATACTCAAACAACCTGTAACAGTACGGACAAGCTGTCCAAAATGTTGACGGTTTCTGCCTTTGATTTTCACTATGGATCGTAGAACTCTTCGACTGCCGTTGCACGCCGTCCTGATTTTGTCCTCTTCTCGTGACCGGCAATTTCCCTGACTGATTTGAAGGATCGCCGATGCTGCTAAAGTCAATCCTCGTGAAAAAACCAAAATTTTTATCGTATTGAGATTTTTTCGAGGCGTTCGATAAAACGGACCATGCATCGGCTACGATCTTAAACGCGTGATCGGCAAAAGGGAACTTGTTTTTGTCGGGGTGAAGAAGAAGAGCCAGGCGACGATACTGTTTCTTGATGAAATCGTTGTCTTCGGATCTGCGATCGACTTGCAAGATAGAGTACCAATCGTGATGGTTGTTTATTTTTTTCTCGGCGGCGAGGAGGACGTCGGCGACCGCTAGGATCTGATCCGAACCTTCCAATAAGGGTTCGGTCTCTTGGGCTAAGATTGCGAAGTCCCTTGAGCCGTTGAAATCACGGTTTTGCAGAAGCTTCTCGGCCATCCCTAGAAGGCGTAGGGCTTCAGCTCTACTGCCATTTTCCTCCATTTTCTTTTGAGTTTTGTTTGGATGATGAGAAAAACAGAGGATAGGGTTTTCCCACTTGTTCAGTTTATGGTGGAATTTCCAAGCTCGTATTGGACGTAATTGGTGTTGGCATTTTGATTAAATTACATATGGTTTTAAGTTTATTAGGCAGGAAACTCGGCCCTTTATTGTCTTTTCACCAACCACAAACTTTCCTAATAAAAAAACGTTTAAAGTGAAACCTAATTTGTGTTCCTCGGCGGTTCATATGATTCCGGTTCGTAGATTCTGTATCGCATTCGTTTTAATTGGGGTAGAGATGGGTATAATTTTAGCAGGTAGTGGGCAGGTGTGGATTTAGAAACTGGTACCCGTCGCGGATAGTGAGCGGGTAATGAGTTGGAGACATTACCTGCCCCGCATCCGCCTGCCCCACATCTGCACGTCCAACTAAATATCCATTAAATTTTGGACTATTATGAATTTAGGTGTAATTTTAGAGACTAATTTATAAATCCTAATATTGTATAAGATATAACTTATAATTTAACCAAATATTAGGGATAAGTTTATGTATAAATTTTGTTCTTTCAAACCTCTCGTTACTGCGCCGATCTTTCAAACCTCTGGTCTCCACTCTCCAGCTTATTTAGGTACGTTTCTTCCTCTTCTTTAGTCTTTAATCTAGTCTCTTCTTTAGTCTTTAATCTTTAGTCGAACCCCGATTTACTACGAGTCAACCAACCAGGCCTTTCCCATTATAATGGTTTACTCTTCGACTACTCTCGCAATAAAAAACAAGGAAGCTCTAAATTTCTTTTTGGGTATTCATCGTTTTGGTTTGCTAGTTGATGGATCCATTTTATCATGTGTTTTAAAGGTATGCGGATGCTTGTTTAATGTGATATATAGAAGACAAGTTCATTGCCAACGTTTGAAACTTGGGTTACTTGAGGGTGTCCGTGTAGGGACTTATCTTTTATATGCATACGAGGACAGAGAATGTTAAAGATGGTAGGAGAGTTTTTGATAATTTAGGGGAAAGAAATATGGTTTCTTGGACTTCATTGCTTGAAATTTTAGAATGTTAAAGATGGTAGGAGAGTTTTTGATAATTTAGGGGAAAGATGGTAGGACTGAGAACGATGATTGTAATACTGGAGTATCAGATGTCACAAGTATTGCCTGAAATTTTAGAATGTTGTGCCAGATAACAAAAACATTATGTGTTTGTCATTTATGTTTCTAGACTTTAATTATGCCTTTTATTATGGTGTTTTATGTACTTTAAGATCTATATTAATACTTAACTCAGATAATCCTTGGTTTATTTTATTATGTTTCTTAATGGACGTGTTTGTTTTATGTTTGTTGTTTATGTATAACTTAAGTTTGTTGTCAGGCGGGTCTAGCCGGGTACGTCTCTAGTTGGGTAGTGGGTGTGGGGATGGATTTGAGAATATACCCGCGTGGGCGGGTGTGGATTTGAAAATTTTTACCCATCATGGGTGGTGGGCGGGTGGTGTATAGAAAAATATTTTGTGGGTATGGGGATAGGGGAGGAGGTATCCGCACCCGACCCGCTTGTTTGTCATCCCTAATTCTAGCACATAGATTTCATGTTCTAAATCGTTTTAATGAGAAAAAAATATTTTCAGTTTATTTGGGGTCAAATTTTAATTTCGGTACATATATTATGTTGAAATATGAAATTTGATTCATATATATTATTTTGACATAATTAATTTTATATTTGGGTAAAGTACACAAATGATCCCTCGACTACTAGGTGAATGTCTTGATTATTAAAAAATATACGAAAGATTATCCCGACTATAAAGCGTTGTTTTGTTGTGTCCTTTGACTATTAAAAGTTACTAAATGGTGAACTGACTATTCAAATGTTTCAAACTTGTGTTTTTCATTAAAAAATTGATGATAATTTAAGTTGAACATTAACATGTTATCAAGAAAAAATTTGATCCATATATATTATTTTGACATAATTAATTTTGCACAATTTACCTTTTAAAAAAACATATAACAGCAAAGATTGTAGTTAGTTTTTTAACGAAAAATGATGAGTGGGAACATATGAATAGTTGAGTGACAATTTTATAACTTTTAATATTTGGGAGACTCAACAAAGCAATTCCCATAGTTAAATGACCATTTCATAATTTTTAATACTTGATGGACTCAACAAAATAACACACTATAGTCTGGGGACCATTTGTGTATTTTTACCCTTTTTATATATTTTTTATGTGTGTATACAAGATATTATTTGTTCAATGACTCTAAACCAATGACAATGAATGTTCATACTCTATCGATTATCTTCTCTAAAATGGAACTAGTTCTAATTTTAGGCAAAATAAATGATATTACTCAACTATTCATATATTCAATTAGAAAATTCAGATACTCGATTATCTTGGATCGAATCATATCATTATTTTTATTATTTGAATTTTTGGATATCTAAGTTTTCGAATCGGATCAGATTCGATATCTGAATTTATACACCTTTAATTACAATGTAATATATGTTTAAAATACTCTTAATAATTTAAGAATGAACATGGGTTCGAAGTAAGAAATTGCATAAGAGAAAAGAAGTATTTATCTTGTTATCTACATAAACAAAAACGTGATGGTCATTGGAGAGAAAAAAGAAGGGAAATCGAAGGAGTTAAATATTATTTCTTTATTTAATTAATTTGTGTAATACAATGTAGCATTTATTAAATATAACTTTCACCTAATTGATAATAAATATTTACATTTTTTTATATTCTTGATATTCGAACTCTAGACTTTAGAGAATAGTAACGGTTCGTGCAAATTAAAGATTTGCAGAAATTGGGAATTAGGTCAAAATGAAAGAAGGCTGGATTTGAAATGTGAGAAAAGGGAAAAGACAAGGTTTGGATTAATGGAAAACTAGGAAATTAAACCATAAACGAGCGAATAGGTGAAGACACCAAATTTTGTCCTGCCAATCGAGGAATCTTCATGTAACCAAAAAAGAAGAGTTAGATTAGGAGTTAAATACTAGTCTAAAATAGAGTTGGATTAAGACTCAAATACTAGTCTAAAATAGGGTTTTTTAGTACTATAAATAAGCCTTGTAATTACCACACCAGGGGACACGATTATCATACGGGATTACGCACACAAAAAAATACCTAAAGCAAATATGCAATAAGTCTCAAAGATTCGCTTGTAATTTTCAACAGAGATATAAAAGAGGTATTTTTACCTATATTGCTTCGATTCTCGCTTGCATGTGGCTTGTTTCACTTCTTCTTTTCCGTTTTTACTTTGAAAGGGCCGATAAACACAAGGAAATCGAGATCTTTTCTCTTAGATCTACGCTTCCCCGAGGCTTATTTTGAAAAACCGGTTTGATTTTCGGTCAAAGGAAGGGAAGAGCTTTTTAAAAATCTATATTAGTCCCTTTATTTATTATATGGATATTTTATTCATTTATTTTATTATTCATGTTATTATTATACGTATATATATATTTTTAAATTATTTTCATTTGATTTTTTTACTTTATTTATATATATATATATATATATATATTTCTTTAATATTTACTTATAAGTCTATTATTATATATATGTAATTATCTTTATCTAGTTATATATTTTTTTATACTTTTAATAGTTTATTATATACCTATTATTAATATATATATTCTTAATTATTTTATTTGATTATTTCTTATTTACGTAATATATCTTATAACTTTATATATATATATATATATATATATTTTTTATTATTTTCTTTTTTTATTCATTATTATATTATTTTAAAAAATCTTGTGTCTTTATCATTATTATTATTAAACATTATATTATATACTAATTTAGAGGGCCCATTTTTTTATTTTATTTCTAACTAAAGTCTCTCTCACTTTCCTCTTTTTGTCTTATTTCTGACTAAAGCCCTCCACTTTCGGTGAAGTGAGAGGGTAGCTTTTCTATTTTTAAATATTTGTTGTATATATATATAGCTTATTTATTTTATTAATACTTTGATGTATATATATATATATATATATATATTCCTTTTTCAAATATTATTATATATAATTATTACTTTACTATTTTTTCCTTATCTTATTTATTTTATTTTTTTCCTTTTATTTTATTCTCTTTATCTTATTTGTTTTCTTTACCTTGTTTATCTAACACATTTCTCGATTTTTTAAGGATATTTTCAAATCAATCTAAGGTAAGTAATCAAGATCAAATTTTACCTTTTTATTTAAATTTACAATTTTCTTAATTTAAGACAACTGAAAATTATGTGGTACCGAAAGGGCGGTTCAAGGGTGCTAATACTTCCTTGACCGTAACCGACTCCCGAACTCGACACGTTTCTGGTACAACGCAGATCAGGTAAAATGGTGTCCGACCCACCTAAATTCGTTTTAAAGTGGTCGGTGGCGACTCCAATCCACATTTTCCTAAGTCGAACCCAATTCTGGGGCCCAACCGAAAGACGGTTACGACAGCTTGGCGACTCCGCTGGGGACAAATAAGCGAGTCAGGCTAAGGTAATTCCCAGTTGTCTTTTTAATGAAAAGGGTAAGTTTAAATTTTAAGGTAACATTTCGATCCTTATTGCTTACTTTTGGTTATATTTTTCCGAGTAATAGTTGACTGACCGTTTTCTAATGATTACAGCTTCCAGAACTTTTTTTCATCTAAAGGCTCTATACCCGAGCTCGAACCCGTTTTAAGTGGGGGTGAAAGCGACGCATTCGTGTGAATTTATTCACCGCATATGCCTAGAAAGTAGCCTTCGGGATTCATATACCTTGTGTCTTCGTGTGAATTTATTCTCCGTATAGACATAAGGAAATGTGTCCTCTCGAGTTTAACTTAGTCCACACAAACCTGTGATGGGTTTAGAACTAAGGGTCTGGCAAGCCCAATGGGGCACCGGCAAGGAGAACTCGGGTACCGTTTTTTAGAACCTAAACCGGAAGACTATGAAGAATTAGAGCCTACCCCGAAACCACATTCTGAAACCTAAGATA